ATATGTCTGTGGTGGGGAGGACTATGAGAAACTGTGTAATGTGTGTGCAAAGTGTGTGTATCCCCAACATAAGTGTGTTTGTGCTCCAGGAAGAGGGAGCAGTGTGTGTGTGTGTGTGTGTGTGTGTGTGTGTGTGTGTGTGTGTGTGTGTGCTGGCGCATGCACCCACATCCTTTGAGATCCCTGCACACCCGTCCCAACTCCACTAGCAGCCCCGCTGGCATCCCAAGCCCCCTCACCAGCGCGCTGCCTGCAGTGGCCCTCAGAGCTACACCCAAGGCACAGCCCTCACTCAGATACACACAGTGACACACGCTTCCTCCTCCCCAACAGCTAGCTCCTCGGTACCAAACAACACCAGCTGCCTCCTGGAGCTTGTGTTCGTGTTGAAAGCCGGGATGGGGTGGGGGCAGGACACGAGCCATTTCACCAATGAAGCCCGTTCCCCACCAGCCTCCTCGCCCCCTCCCTCTAGGCGCCTTCCCTGCCCCTCCTCCTCCAAGTCACCACCGTCCAGTTCCCCGCCCTACACTCGTCCCCCCACGCCCCAAAGCTGTCCTTCAGTCCCCCAACCCCAGCTCGCAGGCTGGATGAGCCCGGGAGAGAGGGGCGCGGACTGACCGAGCCGGGCGAGCCGGGCGGAGCCGGAGGCCGGGACTGCGGGGGAGGAGGGAGGCCCGGAGGGAGCGGGAGGGAGGAGGGCGGGCGAGCCCGAGCGGCGGCGGCGGCGGGAGCCAGAGAGAGCGGCGTCCGGAGTGCGGTCTCCATGGCAGTGCCGGGCACAGCCTGAGGTAAGACGACCCCTGCCCCGTCCCAGCGTGGCCTCCCCTCTCCCCCCAGCTGCCTCCTCTCCCCTCCGGCCGCCCCTCCTCCCCAGCCACCTGCTGTTTCTGCCCTGGAGAAGCCGGTGGGGGGCAGGAGGGAGGAGCCTCCTGACCTTACACCTTCACCCCGAAGGGCGACGGACCCTGTAGGCCACGGAGCCCCCCCAGGTCCCCCTCCCACGTTCCTCTGATCCCTCTCTGTCCTTCACCTCCTTCTCTCTGTCCTTCACGTCCTTCCTGCCCCCGTCCCTCTCTCTGACTCCCCATCTCTTCCTCAGCCCACCAGCTGGGCTTGGGTGGAGGTGGGTGGGGAGGGGTCCAAAGCTGCAGGGGAGGGTAGTGGGGGGTGCTCCTGACCAATTCCCTCCACCTCCCTCTAGCTGGCCATTGCCATGGCAACTAAGGTGCACTGGGCTCTGGAGGGAAGACAAAAGTGGGGGTGGACTAGGACCTCTTGGGGAAGGCAAGGGTCTGAGGTTCTTCCACGGGGAAATAGCCCCTCTCCCTGCGGTGCCTCATCTTTGCCCAATTTATCCTAAAGCCATTACGCCCCTCCTTGCAGCCTCCACTCTGTTCAAGGTTTCACAGATTTCCTCTTAACCCCCTCCCCAGGGCTCATTGGAGCTCAGCATCACTAAAATGAGGACTATCTTTCCTCTCATCGAGGGAAACTGAGGCTCTGGGCCAGGGGAGGAAAGAATCAAGGTCTCCCAGTGGGAGTCAGCCCCTTAGTGAGCATTTGGCTTTTCTCCCGGCCTCCCTATTCCCTGCTCCCTACCTCCTCCAACCCCTCCTCCCTCCAAAGCCTCTCCAGGGGGTTCTGAGCTTTTCCTTCTATTTTCAGATACTACCACTTTGCCCCCTCTTTCTCTTCTGCTCAAACTCTCCTCCTTCTCCCTAGTTCCCCCTCTTTCCATTTCTGGATGTTTCTGATGTCAGCGGTTTCCCCGCCTTCAGATTCCCTAGCCCCCCCACCCTTCGGTCCCAGCCTCCTTTCTCCCATTTTCCCAGATCTGGGCAGGCTTGGGGGAACCGGGCTGAGCTCCAACACCACTGGATCCAGGAGACGGGCAGGTAGGGGCGGGGGCTGTAATACCGTATCCCAGTTTACTGTAACCCTCAAAAAGAAACAAGTCATGAGTTTGGCATCAGCTCTGAAGAGACATTTAGGGACAGGAAGATAGGGTGGAGCAGTACTGAGCAGGGGACATTCTAAGGAGGAACTTGGGAGTTCCAGAGGGAGGAGAAAGGGCTAAAGGAGACAGGGAGGTAAGAATACCTTCTTTGCTAGAGGTCTGGAAGAGCAGGAGCTCTTTCTTATCTGTGCGGGGCATTTGGGGATCTGATTTAAGGCAGAGGAAAGTTCTGAACGACCCCCTGGCCCCTAATAATCAGTCATTTCTATAGTTTCAAGAGAAGGGGGCACAAGAAGCCATTTGGAGACCAGCCTAGGCCCTACCTTTGCCCTCCTCCTCCCACATCTCATCTTTGCCTTGCAGCTGGGCCAGAGGGCTGAGCCCCACCTCCAAATCCCTGGGGCATCCAGAAGATTCCTGACTGGTCAAGAACCAGAGGAAAAAGAGACCTGGAAGTCCCAGCATGGGGACCAGAGCCCCCCAGCCAGCCTCATAGCTGGGAAAGCAGCCAGCTTGCCCCTGCCATCCATTGCAGGGGTACTTAAGGAAGGCCCCGCCCACCATGAAGGCTGAGGACTGCCTCTGCTGACCCTCCACATCTGCCCTCAGCGGGGCCAGTCATGCAATGCTGAGCAGCAGCGTGGGCCTGGGGGCAGCCTGCCTCTCTGCAGGGCAGAGACTGTGGGCACCATGGGGGTGTGTGTGAGTGGGGCTCCTGGGTGAGACCTAGCCCCCGCCCCCAGGAATTCAAGGGGGGTGGGGGGCTGAGGATAGGATGGCTCGGGGCGGGGTGGGGGCGGAGGAGGCCTCCCTGCGCTCCAGTGCACTGTCCTGGCTGGCCTGCGGGCTCCTGGCGCTGCTGGCCAACGCCTGGATCATCCTCAGCATCTCGGCCAAGCAGCAGAAGCACAAGCCGCTGGAGCTGCTGCTCTGCTTCCTGGCGGGCACGCACATCCTCATGGCGGCCGTGCCCCTCACCACCTTCGCCGTGGTGCAGCTGCGGCGGCAGGCTTCCTCCGACTATGACTGGAACGAAAGCATCTGCAAGGTCTTTGTGTCCACCTACTACACACTGGCCCTGGCCACCTGCTTTACAGTCGCCTCGCTCTCCTACCACCGCATGTGGATGGTGCGCTGGCCCGTCAACTACCGCCTCAGCAATGCCAAGAAGCAGGCGCTGCATGCTGTCGTGGGCATCTGGATGGTCAGCTTCATCCTGTCCACGCTGCCCTCTATTGGCTGGCACAACAACGGCGAGCGCTACTACGCCCGTGGCTGCCAGTTCATAGTCTCCAAGATCGGCCTCGGCTTTGGCGTCTGCTTCAGCCTCTTGCTACTTGGGGGCATCGTCATGGGGCTGGTCTGTGTGGCCATCACCTTCTACCAGACGCTGTGGGCCCGGCCCAGGAGGGCTCGGCAGGCCCGGAGAGCGGGGGGAGCTGGAGGGGCTAAAGGGGGTGGGCCAGGGGGCTTGGGTACCCGGCCAGCTTTTGAGGTGCCAGCCATTGTGGTGGAGGATGCCCGAGGGAAGCGGCGGTCCTCACTGGATGGCTCCGAGTCTGCCAAGACGTCCCTGCAGGTCACCAACTTGGTCAGCGCCATCGTCTTTCTCTATGACTCGCTCACAGGGGTGCCCATCTTGGTGAGATCAGGGTCCCCTCACCTATTCTCCCCAATATCCAGGCCCCGGCATCATCACCTGACCTCCAGCTCCATCAGCCATGCAGCAGCTCCATCATCTCTCCTCCGGTTCCGTCATCCACCTGCCTCTCCTCTACCCGTCCCCCACTGCATTTGTGAGCCCCCAGCTCTGTCACCCATCCTCTAGTCCCACTGTCCCATCTCCCCCAGCTCCACCATTGCCCTTCAGTTCCGCTACCTGTCCTGCAGCACCCTCATCCATCCTGCAGCTCATCCGCGTCGCCCCCTAGACCTGTCCCCCAGCTGCTGAGCTCCAGTCTCCATCCCCTCGTTCCCTCTGGAGACTGCGTGGTCTCCGAGCACTCTTGGGTAGAAACCCCACAGGGCCCGCCCCATCTCGTCCCTATTCCTGGGTTTCTCTCTGTCTTCAAGTTTCCTGCTCCACCTCTGTTCCTCTTTCTCCTGACCCCAGGGCTTTGCCCCCAGCACTCTCCTGACTTTCTTCTGAGTCAATCCCTTCCCTCTGCTCACCACGCCTCCACCTCCCACTTTGCCTCTGTCCCAGTCACGGGGATCAGGCGTCCCTTCCTGATTCCTGGCCCACCAACTGCACTAGGCTGTCTGGACCCTGACCCAGCCTATTCCATCCTCGCCAGGTGGTGAGCTTCTTCTCCCTCAAGTCGGACTCTGCGCCCCCCTGGATGGTGCTGGCTGTGCTATGGTGCTCCATGGCACAGACTCTGCTGCTGCCCTCCTTCATCTGGTCCTGTGAGCGCTACCGTGCCGACGTGCGCACAGTGTGGGAGCAGTGCGTGGCCATCATGTCCGAGGAGGATGGCGATGACGGTCAGAGGAGGGACTGGGTTTTGCTTTCCTGGACATTGTTGCCTTTTCTGCCTGTTTCCACCGCTCCTTCTCTGAGATGATGGGCTGCCCTGGAGTGCCCCCTGCTGGACAGAGCTGGCACCACCCCACTCCCCTTTCCCGGTGCAGGCACCCTGCAGCCCACTCCCGGCTTCCTCCTCTGGGCCTAGGCTCCCCTCCAGAAGCCCACCCTGCCCAGCGCTGGCCCCCACCAGGCAGAGTGCCTGAGAAACAGTCCAGAGTCCTAACACAACCCTAAGGAAGGCTGTGGCACTAAGGGGAAGCTGGGCTTCCTGAGAGAGACACCCAGCTATAGGGACAGTTCTTGGGGGAGGGCAGGTAATTGTTTCAATAACTATGTTTATATGTGTGAAGCACTAGGGATTCAGCACTGAACAGCAAATGCTAGCCACACTCGCTGTCTTGGAGCTTATAGATTAATGGGAACCGAAGGGGTCTCTGGGGGCTTATAAAAGGGGGGGCAGGGATTCCCTACCTGTAACCACTCTGCCCCTTTTCTCTTCTAGATGGAGGTTGTGATGACTATGCAGATGGCCGAGTGTGCAAAGTTCGCTTTGATGCTAATGGGGCCATGGGCCCAGGGGGCCGGGACCCCTCCCAGGTGAAGCTGCTGCCTGGAAGGCACATGCTCTTTCCCCCTCTTGAGAGAGTCCACTACTTACAGGTATGGGGCTGGGGGATACACCTCCTACGCTTGGTGCCCTTACCGCTCCTCTGGAGTGTCCTCCCCAGCCAGGCAGCATGAGGGTGGGTGAAAGAAAGGCACGGTTTGAGAGGCTCCCCTCCAGACCTCTCAGGACCGGGTTGGCCCTCAGGAACAAATGTTCCGGAGAAGGTTGAGAGGGTGGAGCCCTCTTGCAGAGTCCCACGGTTAGTTCTGCCTCCGCCTCCTTTGTCCCTACAGCACCTCCAGGTGTTACCTGCTCCTCTTCCCAGGTCCCTCTATCCCGCCGCCTGTCTCATGACGAGACCAACATCTTCTCTACCCCTCGGGCACCAGGCTCCTTCCTGCACAAGTGGTCATCCTCTGATGACATCCGGGTCCTCCCAGCCCAGAGCCGGGCTCTTGGGGGCCCTCCTGAGTACCTGGGACAGAGACACAGGCTGGAGGATGAGGAGGATGAGGAGGAGGCTGAAGGTGGGGGGCTGGCCAGCCTTCGCCAATTCCTAGAGAGTGGGGTTGTGGGGTCAGGTGAGGGACCCCCACGGGGTCCTGGCTTCTTCCGAGAGGAGATCACCACCTTCATTGATGAGACACCTCTGCCTTCTCCGACTGCCTCACCAGGGCCCTCTCCTCGCCGGCCCAGGCCACTGGGCCTCTCACCCCGACGACTGTCCCTTGGGTCCCCTGATAGCAGAGCCATTGGACTTCCTTTGGGGCTAAGTTCAGGGAGACGATGCTCCCTGACTGGGGGTGAGGGGAGTGCAAGGGCTTGGGGAGGATCCTGGGGCCCCAGCAACCCCATATTCCCTCAGCTGACCCTGTGAGCCCTGATGGGCCTGCTGGACTGAGAGGAGGGGGCCTGAGTGAGCACCATCTCGTTCTGGCCCTGAGCCTGTGACAGCTGCCTCCAGGGAGATGGGTGCTGGATCTGGGGCTCTGGAGCCCCTGCTCTCTCCTACCCAAGTGACCAGATGCCCTGCTCACCTGCCACCATCCTTAGCAAAATTTATTAAAGTCTGAAGTGTTGCCATGGAAACCTCAGTGTCCAGTGTACTGTGATGGCAAAGTGTACCATCAGAGGCTTAGCAGGTGGAGTGGCTCCTAGGGGACAAATAGAGCAGGGGCAGCAGATGGACAGACAAAGACTCCTGGAGAAATGATCACACCCATTAAGGCGCAGACATGCTCAGAGAAGGGCTGGGAGGTGCATACTGAGCTGGGGGGCGGGCATGGGGACACACTGGAGTTTGTTGGTTTGGGATATGAAGGATCTTTGTTCAGATTTGTGGAGGCGATTTAGAGAGAGCATGGCTCTATTCCCAATGCCCCAACTCTCCTAACCCCAAATCTATCCGGGGGCTCACTTTCTGGGCAGCAAAGAGTTTGGGGCTGACTTGGTGTCCCAGGCCTGGAGTACCCTCCTCCATGCTACATTCTAAAGCTTTCTCCAGAGGTGTGTGCCTGCGGATGAGGGTCTGTGGGAGGCGTCTCCTGGATCCAAGAGTGGAGGGGAACACAGCCGCAGTAGTTCTCCGCCCATCACCACCATAGGTCTCAGGGACTAGAGTCACCTCCCAGGCCTGCTCCAGTTCCCGCCTTTTGCCCTCCTCTCCCCAGTTTCCCTTTCTCAACACACACTAGTCCCACGTCTTAAAGACGGCTTTCCCCACTCGGCCCCCGGGCTCCCTCTGACTTCTCTCTCCATCTCTCACACCGGCCTCTGCCACGGTCGGTTCTCTCTTCGGCCTTCGTCATTCCTTCTCTCCCTCTCCCTCCGCCTCTCCATCTCTCCTTCCTTCCCCTCCCTCTCCTTCCCCCCTTCCTCTCCCTCCCTCTCGGCTCCCCATTTCCCTTCTGCGGCCGGCCGGCAGCGCGGGCACCATGCTCCGGCTCCTCCGGCTGCTGCTGCTACTGCTGCCGCTGCCTCCCCCGGGGTCCCCCGAGTCCTCAGAGCCTCCCGGCCTGGCCCCGGTGTCCCCGGGGGCGCCCCCGCAGGCCCCCGACTTGCTCTACGCCGACGGTCTGCGCGCCTACGCGGCCGGGGCTTGGGCGCCCGCTGTGGCGCTGCTGCGGGAGGCGCTGCGGAGCCAGGCGGCGCTGGGCCGCGCGCGGCGGGACTGCCGGGCGAGCTGTGAGGCCGAGCCCGGTGCCGCGCTCCCCGCCGTGCTGCCTGGCGCCCCGCGGCCCGACTCCGGGCCCGGACCCGCGCGGCGGTCCTGGGAGCCGCTGCTCCTCCGTGCCGCGCTCCGCCGCGCCGAGTGCCTGACCCAGTGCGCCGCGCGGAGGCTGGGCCCCGGGGGCGCGGCGCGGCTTCGCGTGGGGAGCGCGCTCCGGGACGCCTTCCGCCGTCGGGAGCCCTACAACTACCTGCAGAGGGCCTACTACCAGGTGGGGAGTGGGCCGGCGGGTGCTGCTGTCCCACTCGGAGCTGGCCGGGAGGGGCGGAATGCTAGCGCCCGGGACCCGGCGGGGCCGTGGGGACGGACCGCGAGCCTGTGCATCGGAGCAGGTCCCGCCCTAACGACCGCGAGGACCTGCTGAGGTCGCAGAGGGACAGCCGAGGGAGATGGGCGCAAAGTTGGAATGGGCGGGGCGGGAGCAGATGAAGACGGGGGGAAGGGGTTTTACTGAGACCTACGTGGTGGTGAGTGCTCCTCTCCTGGGAACGAAGGGGATGGGTGGGGACGGGGAGCGCGTGCGCGTGGTGTGAGCCTTCGCATGGGGCAGGAGGGGGCTTCGGAAAGGAAAGAGAAGAGGGAGGCAAGGCTGAGGGCCCCTGAGGCGCCAGTGGACAGCAGCTGTTGCTGCCACCCTGGCAATTGCCAACGTAGCTGGAGAGGTGGGGTACCAGATACACATATCTCAGCTCAGGGTCCTAGAGACCTGCGGGTTTTGCTGGTCGCTCAGGTCACCCCCACTTCCCCTCCTCACTTAGCCATCACTTCCACCTGGTCTCCCAAACTGAGGCCCTGAGGCCCATGTCCCACCCCCTCGGAGGTCTTCAGACCCCTTTCTCTCGGTGCCAGACTCCTGAGAAACCCAACATCCGGGTTTCTGCAGGTTGGGAGGTGGGCAGCTCTGATTAACCAGTCTTCCCTAAGGCTCTTGGGCAGTCCCAGAATGTGTCTGGAGTGGGGAGGCGGGCGAGGGGGCAGAAGTCTGACACCCCCACCTCAGGGCTCTGGGCATCCCTCCGCCTCCTCAGTTGAAGAAGCTGGACCTGGCAGCAGCCGCAGCGCACACCTTCTTTGTAGCAAACCCAACACACCTGCAGATGCGGGAGGACATAGCCAAATACAGACGCATGTCTCGGGTTCGGCCCCAGAGCTTCCGGGACCTGGAGACACCCCCACACTGGGTGAGACCCTCAGCACCACCCCTGTCTTGCCCCCAGCCTTTGGCTGGCTGCATAGATACACAGCCCTCCGTGGACCATGGCCCTGGACGGCTCTGGCATCTGAAGATCTGGGTACTGGTCCCCAGTGACCCTGGGTGGAGAGTCCATCTCTGGGACTTAGTTTCCTTCCTAGATGATCACTAAACTCTGATATTCCAGCTTTCGGATTCTGAGGCCCACCCCTGTTCTTCCCCAAAGTGAAGTGGGATCTATGCCCCGAATGAGACCAACACCCCTCTCCTTCATTCTACCTCCCAATCTTATTTGGCATCCCCACCCCTCCCCAGATCTCAGGTGAGTGACTGCTCCCCTCCCTAACAGGCAGCCTATGACACCGGCCTGGAGCTGCTGGGCCGCCAGGAAGCAGGACTGGCACTGCCTAGGCTAGAGGAGGCCCTTCAGGGGAGCCTGGCCCAGATGGAGAGCTGCCAGGCATCCTGTGAGGGGCCTGAGGAGCAGCAGGGGGCGGAAAAGGAGGAAGAGGAAGGGGCCGGCAGCCAGGGGGGCCTCTATGAGGCCATTGCAGGTAAGAGGCTGGGAGTTGGGGGGAATTGGCGTGGGGGTGGGGGTTAGGGAAGCATGCACAAGCTGAATGCTGTGTGTGTCCTCCACAGAACACTGGATTCGAGTCCTGCAGTGCCGGCAGCGCTGCGTGGGGGAAACAGCCACACGTCCTGGTCGCAGCTTCCCTGTCCCCGATTTCCTTCCCAGCCAGCTGAGGCAGCTGCACGAGGCCCATGCTCAGGGTCAGTTGGGGCAGGTGGGCCCTGCGAGTGCTTGGGGTTGGAAACAGGGAGATTTGTCTCTCATGGCATCCTGAGCCCCATCTCTCTGTCCCTCCCGTCTGTCTCTGGATCTGTAGTGTCACTGTCAGGGCTCCATGGGGGACCGTCACTTCAGGAGGACTCTAGTTGGCTCTCCTTGGCACCTGTGAAAGCTCAGGACATGGGTCCCAGGGTTCCTCTGCCTTGCTGTTTCTCACCTTCCTTTATTTTCTCCTCTCTTCCTCTTCTTCCAACTCTTCAGCTAAGGTATGTTTGCCTCAGCTTTTGAAAGCAGCGGCAGCTGAGCGTGACTGGCAGTGGGATGGGGCTCTTGGAGTTGGCTGGCTGGCCTTGGGAGACCACCTTCTCCAGCACTGCCTCTGCCCAAAGACCGTGTGTTCTCAGTCTCTGTCCCCCACCCCACTCTGTGACTCCCTGTCCAGTGGGCAACCTGTCCCAGGCTGTGGAAAATGTCCTGAGTGTCCTGCTCTTCTATCCGGAAGATGAGGCTGCCAAGAGCGCTCTGAACCAGTACCAGGCCCAGCTGGGAGAGCCGAGACCCAGCCTCGCGCCCAGAGAGGTGACTCCCCTCTCCACCCTTTCCCTGCAAGGTAGCCGTAAATCAAACACATACACCTGAGAAACAATCAGGACCCCCCCGTCCTCCCATTCTGGCCTCTTACCCAAGTACTCCAGTCACCAAAGGGAACCCCAAGTCCAGCCTCTGACTTCTGTCTCAATCCCTGGTCCCCACATCAAACTGTACTTGTGAGTCCAGCCCCATCTCTTCCCTTTACCTCACTCCTGCCTGCCCCCGCCTTACGCTCACGTGCGGACACCCCCCTGCCACACACACACGCACCCATGTGCGTGCGCACGCACACACACACACACACACACACACACACACACACACACACACGCACCCACGCACATGCGCACACGCAGTCTCTCTCACATCCTCACTTCCTCCCCCGGTGTGAGCCCACATGCTCTGAAGCTGCTGGAGAGGAAACTTGAACCAGTGACCAGTAGGCACAGCGCTGGGTTTGAGGAGCACACAGGCAGTGCCCCAAGCCCCGCCCACCCTGTGCTCCTCCAGCCTCAGCTCTCTGCACCTTGTCTCACCCCCAGGACATCCAGCACTTCATCCTCCGGTCCCTGGGGGAGAAGAGACAGCTCTACTATGCCATGGAGTACCTGGGGACCAGCTTCACAGATCCAGTGAGTCCCTCCGCTCTTCCCCCATCCCACTCTCAGCACTCCCAGGAGGGAGGTGACAGCAATGTCCTACATTTATGTCACTTCGGTTTGTAGCGGTTTCCCATTTTTCTACAGCCCATGAGACTTGTTTTCCCTCCCCGTTTACAGGGACGGAGGCAGTGTGTCTGTAGCTGAGGGCAGCCTTGCGGCCATGCAGGCCTCAGTGTCAGTCCCTCCTCTGCCCCAAACAAGTGCTGGATCTCAACTTGCCTCGGCCTCAAATTCCTGCCTGTGAATTGGAATAATCGCACCTATTTCACAGGGCTGTTGAAACCATATCATTTGGTATAAAGTACAGAAAGCTCTGTGACTACTGCTTCTATTACTCTTCTTGTAGTTAAGAGAGGAAACTGAAGGGCAGAGGTCATCCACAGCCAGCACAATAGCATAAGGAAAGGTTTCTCCACCTTCTTGGCACTAGTGATGTTTTGGACCTGATAATTCTTTGTTGTGGGGAGGGAGAGGGGCTGTCCTATGCATTGTAGGATGTTCTGCAGCTTCCCTGGTGTCTGCCCAATAGAGGTCAATGGCACACTGACACCCTCAGTCATGACCACCAATAACGTTTCCAGACATTGCCTAATGTCCCCTGGGGGACAAAATCACCCT